GGCACTGGGAGGGACTGGGAGGGACTGGGGGGCACTGGGAGGGACGGGGAGGGACTGGGGGGCACTGGGAGGGACTGGGAGGGACTGGGGGGCACTGGGAGGGACGGGGAGGGACTGGGGGGCACTGGGAGGGACTGGGAGGGCAGTATGACCTTGTATGGGGGCAGTGAGAGGGAACTGGGAAGGACTGGGAGGGTGTTACACACTCTGATGTCATAATTTTGGGGTGGGCGTGTCCCCAGCAGGCTCCACCCACCCAGAAGGCAGGACCATTGCAGGCCCCGCCCCCTCCCGCACCGGCCCCGCCCATCGTGCTGATGAAGGCACGGGGTGAAGAGGGGCGGGGCCTCTCAGGGGGTGGGGCCTCCCAGGGGGAGGGGCCAGTGCAGCCCCCGCCCCCTGAGAGGGAGGGGCCCCGCCCCACCCAGCCCATGTACCAACTGCACGGGAGGGGCCTCCCCCCCCCGGGGGCGCCCGACCGTGAGTGGGGGAGGGGCTACGGGGGGAGGGGCTGGGGTGTGTAAATGAGGGGGCGGGGTCAAGGAGGGAGGGGTTGCAGTATGTAAATGGAGGGGCGGGGTCTGTTGTGGGAGGGGCAATGGTTTGGGGGCAGGGCTAAGGGCTGGGTGGGGGAGGAGGGGAGGAGTTAAAGGTTGTGGGTGTGGCTAAATGTTTTTGGGCGTGGCTTGGAGTACTGGGTGGGGCTAAGGGGGTGGGGCTGGAGGGGCGTGGTTAAAGGGGGTGGGTATGGCTAAGTGTGGGCGTGGTTTAGGGTTGTGGGTGGAGCCAAGGGAGGGGACTGAGCTCAGGGGGGTTGGACAGACAGAGGGGGCGGGGTTTAAGGGTTTGGGGGTGCAGGTAATGGTGATGGGCGTGGTCATCGTTTGTGGGTGGGGTCAGACTTAAGTGGGCGGGGCTAAAACCTTGGACTGGTGACAGTGAGGAGTTCGGGTAAAGGGAGGGGGAGGGGTTTGGGATTGTGGGTGTGTCCCCCCAAGGGGGTGTGCCCCCAGTGGGTGTGGCCCCACCTGTCTGGCCCCGCCCTCTCCCAGCGGCCCAGGCCCAGGCCCGGCTGGCGGCGCCCGAGAAGATGAAAACCAGTATCAAACTGGTGGACGAGCAGATGAACTGGTGCGACAGCGCCCTCGAGGTGGGGGGGGACGGGGGGTCCGGGAGCGGGTGGGGAGGGGTTTGGGGGTGTCCCAGACCCCTCCCGGTGACTCCCAGTGCTCCCAGTTCCTCATGGAGCAGACGGACGTGCTCGTGGTCGGGGCCCTGGGGCTGCAGGGGACGGGCAAGTCCACGGTGCTGTCACTGCTGGCCGGGAACCAGCCCGAGGAGGACCCGCGGTACTGGGGGCACTGGGAGGGGCTGGGAGGGGGCTATGGGCTCCGGGGGGCACTGGGAGGGACTGGGAGGGGGCTATGGGCTCCTGGGGGGGCACTGGGAGGGACTGGGAGGGGGCTATGGGCTCCTGGGGGGGCACTGGGAGGGACTGGGAGGGGTTTATGTGCTCCTGGGGGGGCACTGGGATGCACTGGGAGGGGTTTATGTGCTCCTGGGGGGGTATTGGGGTGCACTGGGATGCACTGGGAGGGCGTTATGGGTTCCTGGGGGGGCACTGGGATGCACTGGGATGCACTGGGAGGGCGTTATGGGTTCCTGTGGGGCACTGGGATGCACTGGGAGGAGGTTATGGGTTCCTGGGGGGGCACTGGGATGCACTGGGAGGTCTCACTGGTTTCCCCCCAGGTCGTTCGTGTTCCGGCCGCAGCCCCCCGAGCTGCGGGAACGGGGGGGGGCCCAGACCGGGGGCATCGACCTGTTCGTCACCCAGGAGCGGGTGCTGTTCCTGGACACCCAGGTAATTAGTGTTGATTAACAGTGTTTGCTACCGGTTACCGTAATTACCCCATTACCGTAATTACCCCCATTACCGTAATTACCCCCATTACCGTAATTACCCC